CTTTAACCGAAGGGAACTTGAAGAGCGAAAGGGGAGAGGATCCACGGTGCCTTTGGCGCGTGCGCGCGTGCACACGCACCTACACCCACGACCGCCAGCTCGTATCCGCCAATACTACTCTGGTGTCAAATAGAGAACCTATTTCGACGAGACGGGAGCCTATGGGTTGGGAGCACGACCCGCAACGTTAGCGGAACGACGATGAATTCGCGTCTCGATAACTCTGCCAGCGATTTTTTATGCTCCGTTCGTGCTGAGATCTCCTTTGCCAACGACCCAGACGACTATGAATATTTCAAACGAAAATCTAATTTACGTTCCTGCACGGTTACACGCGTACGTTTCGCTCGTGAAATTCATTCTATGCGCCCATCGGGTCATTCCGAACCGAAAACGAGCTGTGGGTGCGGATTTCATTTTATTCGATATTCACAGTTACCATTGGAATAAGCAGTATCGCGATATCGACAAATATAGACACCTCGTCTTCTTAATACTCTCGCGCGTGTTCGCTGACCCGGACCACACGGAGCGTAATCACCGTGTATGGAGATTAGTATAATTGTTTATGTATAACGGATGGAGATTTCATAGCGTATACAGTGTTAACGCAGGGCTTGCGATGCTACAAACATATTGTCTCGTTTCGTGTTCCGACATAATCGATTGTTCAGATAATCGAGGCTCTACTGCGCTCTGCGCGGTCATCTGCGTATTTAGCACCGATATGTAGCGACATTTATCGAACAGTGGTGCCCAAAATTCTTTGAATTTTCAGCTTCCTACTTTCAACGTCTATCTATTCCGTACTCCTTTGAATAAAAATTAGAATCTCAATTATAAACTGCTCCAATCGAGTAAAAATTTATCGCCCAATTTGATATTCGAATAAAACTTTGCTCGTCTCTATGAACGATCACCTGCGATTACAGTCCGAACTATCGAAGCTTCCAGAAGAAGATTAATTATAGTTGCAGCAGGGTAATCAGCTGACCATCGACCTTTCGCCATACTTTCTACCGAACGCCGCTCTACCTGTGCCTCTACCTGAATTTCTATAACGTTTTCGCGATCGTGCCGAGTGAAGTCGGCAGATAAAAAAAAAAAGGGAATAAATAAGAAAGTGAGCGTCGAGGTTTGGATAGGTTTGAATAGGTTTGCTTACGGAGTTGCACACGCGTTTTATCTTTCCGTTCCCGATTCGGAGTTAAGTCGGCAAAAAACGGACGGCAGTCAGACTTTTTGTCGATACATTCCCTGTCAGCCTGTCAGAATTTCAGGGAACAGACGCCGGAACGACGGGGCTACGAACCGTTCAGAAAACGTCCCTCCACCATGGATGTTACTTCCGACGTATTTCGGGACTGGCGGGCTTCCATGGCTACGCTCTGCGCGTTGGAACGCTTGGTCATTGAACGTTTTTGCCATCTGTTATCGCGAAACTACGGTCTGGTACTTTGTTCGAGCGAACGCGTGGATAATGCCACCGTTAACTATTGTATTTCATTTTTAGCGATTCCCCGTTTATCGAAAATGATATCTTTGTTCATTTATCGTTGATACGTCTGATATACCCTTTGGTTAAGCAATAGTGGTGTCAATTTAAAGATTCATTGAACCCCTCACTCTAATGCCCTTACCAATGAATAAATACGAAATTGAAACGTATAGTTTCGAAGAACATTTTTAGTACACATGGGGGAAGAATCGTGCCTCTCATAAAATATTCTAGTAGACTCTACATTCGAAACTCCAAATGTAAAATTATTCCGGATAAACTTGTACCCATCGACATCTGAATCTTTAAAAACAAAATACGCGAACAGTCGAATATAAATAAAAACCCAAGGTAATTACATATAAGTTTGATTAAGAAATAAAGTTCTAGGAAAGTCTCTTTTAAAAAGCCTTCTATTTTTTAAACAAAACCGACCGTTTGTGTCCCACTCCGTGGGCGACGTCCTCCTCGAGTTCGAGAATCGTTTCGCCTGTCGCAAAAGGCGTGAAATTTACGTTCCCGTAGTAGTCGCTAAAATAAGACCTCACTATCCGATACTCCGCGTTCAACGAACCGACCAGAAATAGGATTTCGAACGGGGCACGGAACGATGAAAAATTTAGCGAGTCGCTGTTCCAGCCGATCGATAAACCGAAATTCGTGAAATCTTACATAATTGACGAGGGCACAACGGCTCGGAGCGAAACGAGCGACGTTTCCCTTGCGAATCGAACGTAGCCAGCCACTATCTGTGCGATTCCGCGAACGACCCCGAACGAACGGGACCGAAGGGCAAGTTTCGTGCAAAGCATCGAGTCATATTTTTCTGTCTCACCTCGTGTTGAAGTTTTTATTCGAACCAATGTCGGGTGAATTCAGTTGTGTCGTTTGTTCTACTAATTGTAGTTCTGGTAAAGTCGGTATAATTAACCATTTGTACTCGAGGCCTTTTTTTCTGGTGTCTACAAGCAACTCGAGATGCTTTCTTAGCATTCTATTGCCACGAAGATTATATCGACTTCGAAAATGAGATCTCTAATTTGAGATATGAGAATCAGGTCACCTTTGCCTCAACGACCATCATTTTATTGGTACTCGGAGTTCCAAAGAAATTAAACCTAAAGAAAACCACCTCAAAGGAAAACCAACCTCAAGTGCAAAGGGTTAACAAACCAAGTAGTCGATGAGTCGGTTAACTAGTTTAAGATACATTTAACGAGATACATAGGAATATGTGCCACGTTCGCAGAAGAATATAATATAATAAGGAATATAACATAAGTGAATTAATTCATGAAATATTTATTTACATACGCTTCGTAGACGTTTCTAAATTAACATACGCTGTAAATGATGAAACGGGGTCTAACGATATCATTCATTAAAAGCATTAGAGGTATCCCTTAATTACAGTTGCGCGTTCTCAGATACGGAGGCCATCGAAACAGATTTTTAATGAAAGATAAATTACAAAAAGGATACTAAAAAATAAAAATAAAACCTGCTTCTGTTTCTCCTACCTTGGAATAATTCGGAATGTCTGTTGAACGAATGACGAATCAAAAATTGCTCCGATGCAAACAATTTCACGGTTGTTATCAAAACTAAAGGAGAGATGCATCGATATTTTTGCAAGACGAATCGAAGGATCTTTCTTTGGAATTTTCAGAACATTGATAGGATTTAATTTACATTTCAAGACGAGGGTTTATTTACATATCGCAACGGTATCAATACGAGCGAAGCAGAATCGTTTTCATATTCGTTCTTCCCCGAATGATGTCATGTTTATTATCGAGGACAGGTAATTGATGTTATTTTTGTTTTTGAGTAACACTCCAAAACACATGAACGGTTGTTTTTCACGTCGATTTCAATTAGAATTCGCTACGGTCCGATTATAAACAGTAAAACAGAATTGATTGTTAGCGTTATTAAAGTTAAACCTCATTGAAAATTGCCCTCATTCATAAACATTCATGCTTTATTAAAGGAACGTGAATACTCTTTACACAATACGTTATTTTCAAGCAACAGAGGGAAGTAAATTATATCAGATAACAATTTCCCATATTCATTTCAGCCCAAATCCGCTCCCGTCTAATTATAAACAACAAAGTAACATCAACCCTTGAACTTAGAAATCCGACACCTGTCGAAATTGTCCTCATTTATAAACATTCGCGTCTAACTAAACTAAGAAAGCTACTCTTTACGTATTGCGTCGTTCTTATTCTCAAATTAACGATCCCCATTTTAATCTCAATGAAAATCCACTCCCTCTCCAACAGTAAACGATAAAGTATATAAAACAATCCTTTAAACTCGTCGAGCCGTCTCATCGAAATTATCCTCGTTTGTAAACATTCGGGTCTACCTCGAACAGAGACTACTACCGCATTCCGATCCCTTCTCGACATTCCCAAGAAACCGAACACGGTGAACTCTCATCGCAGTCACCCTCCGCGAAGCGAACGCACGCGAAGCGTTGCTATCGATCCCGGCTAGGTTCGACGAAATTCGCGAAACGCGCGAACACGTTCGTCGAGGGGGGGTGGGGGGGGTGGGGGTGTCGGAGGGGGGGTGGGAAGAAACGCGAAAACGGGGCGGAAGGGGGGGGGGCCGCGGAGACGGGGCGAGAAACGTAGGGGCGCCCCCGAGAGCGCGATCTCTCGTCCCGACTTCACGTGGCTTCTATTGATTTACTACGAGGCGCCGCTTTCGCGAAAGAACCGCAGAAGTCCCGTAGTGAAAAGTTTCGCCCCCCCCGCGATCGATCCGCAGTCAGTCGGAATCTCCTGGCCCGTTGTCTCGTGTATAGTCACGTTGGCACCGCAACAGTCTGCCCCGGCAGTTCAGTGACACGATGCCGTTGCACGATCGTACGGCTTTAGACTGGCTTCAGGGAATCGACACCGTTTGTTTCCGGTGTCGACGAGCAGCTAAGGCACCACGGGCGTTTCACCGCGTTACTATTCGCGTGTCTCGTTTCTCGCCTAACCGTTCTCCCGCACTTTCCGATCGTTACTTCAGGTCGAGACGCCAGGGAAAGGGACATCGCGGACGGACGTAGTCGCGCAGAGGCCAGGCGAACCGACGGTTTTCTTTTTTACGTAGTATGGATCGCCTCGGTCCATCGGTTACGATCGAGATCGAAAGAGGAAAAGTAGTACGGAGAGGAGTGAAAAGAGGAGCACGTTTCCCGTACGTACGTCCGTGGTATCTCGAACTGTGTCAAAAGATCGCGCAGAGCCGCCGTCAGAGGGTGACAAGCACCAAGGACAGACGAGGGAGACCGAGAAATAAAGCGGACGAGAGACAGGAGAGGCGAAGGGGTGGAAAAACGAGCAGGTCGCAGGGCGTACGGGCTACATCCGTACCTCCTTACTTCGGCAAAATCAATAACCTGTTTGGGGGTGTAGGAGAGTACCTAAGGAGAGAGGCCATAGCACGGCACCGCCGCACTAGGTAGAGCCAGGTGTGTCGGGGTTTTGATACGTACGTGTGCTATCCAGGTGCGAACGTACGAAGTCGTCTCTTTCCCGGGTGACGTTGTCGATCGGGTACGCACGGTCACCACCCCCGGAGAGTCCTCGACACCTGTCCCCCTGTCACAGTCTCCGGGCCCCACCTGGCGCTCCAAAATGGGCGAGGGATTCCAATCGAAGAAACGAACCACGACACTCGACGTTCACCGGCTCGATGGGTTCGGGGAATTACTCGAAAACCAACCCTGATCACGAGCTCACCACTCACCGGTATACCGACGACTCCCCGATAACCTTCGACGCGAAACTTGGAATCCGAAACGACACTGTCAAGAGAGGAGTCCCCCTCTCTAATGGTTGCGGCCTGTTTTCATTGTCCACCACCTCGCGGACGCCGAGCGAACGGCTATCCTATCCGAATCGCGCGCCCTTCTCTCCGCCGGAAAGGAGAGGACTCTCGCCACCCCAACAACCGGGAGTCTCGTACGGTACCGTGACACGCTGAACGATGACGTACGGCCGCGGATATCTCGCGACAACGTTCAAACGTGAAGCTATTACCGCACGAAGCGCGAGAGACGAGCCGAAAGTGACAGAGAACGTACAGCAGGCGCGACAACGACACGCGTTTCGAGTTGTCGCGGCTGTGGGGCGCGGACCACTACCTCGACGAGCCTCCCGGATCGTTGGGTAAAACTTGGTGGGGCCGTTCCGGTCGGCGTGCGAACTCCCCACTCTCTTTACCCCTACCATGTTATCCCACCGTCGCTTTGCTCTACCCTTCTCTCTCGGCGCCGATCTCTCTCCATCCAACTACGCCCTCGCCCGTCGTTCCCCACCGCTGCGAACCAGACGACGTGAACGTCGCGGCGTCGTTCGTCCCCCGACCCTGCAGGGTGCGCGAGGGAACGACGCGTGCTGTGCGCTTCGGTCATGCACTTGGCGTGCGTCGTTAACGTTGACCGAGCGCGTGACTCGACCCACCGTGTGCCAGCGGGGATGAAGATTAGGATGAAACGATGCTGCGTCACGGGGTCCGTCTCCTTCGAGGGAAAGAACCGCTGACCCTGGAACCGACGATCGACCGGGACTCGAACGCGCCGGTGGAGATTTGGGACAGGAGTATGCAGTGCGTGTAGAAAGTATTCGTACATCGAGCAATTTCTCAAAAAAACCATGTAAAATTGTAATTTATTAACTTACTTTTGATAAACAACGACATTCTACATATTCTCGGAAATGTATAGAATAGATGGAGCACAAAAAGAATAGCTATTTATGTAAGTCGCGAAATTAACAAGATAAATACAATTAATCGATAGAAATATCGAAGCAATAAGTATTCGCACAACTGTTTAATTTTTTAAACTTCGTTAAAAAAAAAAAGGGAAATTTACGTTAATTTACAAGTATATAATACTTCCTTCGTGGGATTTTCTTTTGATTTTATAATTATTGTAACTCTTCTAAGCATTCGATTAACTAAATTATTAGTTATTCGAAGTAGGATCTTTTTCCATTTCTCTATTAGAGCCATTTTTAGAAGTACTTTACTGGAAATTTGATGTTTTCTAATTCGTACGTATTCCCAATAAACCGATGCGTTTACGTTACAAACTCTACTCTAAATGGTTCGTCATAAAAATCGTAGAAATACTTATTATTTCTATACTTTTACCCACTTTTCCCATTTCTTTTTGGTAATTTCACAAATTATATCAACTAGTAAATATTGTTTGGACTATATCTATCTTAGAGATTTCCGAGAATATGTAAAATATCCTTGATTACAAAAAAGAAAGTTAAGAACTACAATTTCACAGAAAAGTTTTTTGGGAAATTGATCGGTGTACGAATACATTCTACACTCACTGTATATCAGGGGCAGAGATGGGCAAAACCCTAGGCTTCGTATAAATCTGAAGTTTGCCGATGTGTTTGTCTCGTTTCCTTCTTTGGAAAATGTTCAACAGAAGAAACGAGACAAACACATCGGCAAACTTCAGATTTATTCCAAGTTTAGGGTTTTGCCCATCACTGATCAGGGGGTCTCTTACGGTTGGGTAGGCTTCGCGATATCTTGGAGAAATTTCTGAGTTTAACTGTGCTGTTTACTGAAGAAATAAAAAAATTAATTTTGAAAGTTAAATATAAAACAAAAAATGAATTTATACGAAATATTTGAATTTCGGTGAAGTTACAAAAATAAATACCACAATAAATGTGTGATTATGTAGTCTCCAATAGTCAGTAAATAAAATGTAATCGCAGTAGAAATTTTTAAGAGTATTAGTGTGGCAGTCAACGTGTTAATTGACGAAAGGTCAGGGCTGCTCTTTTATCTTGAAATTAATCTGTTCGGTGGCTTCGTTGAAAGAAAATTCAGAAGGCCTCTTGATGGTCCGAACTAAGTACTCCCTTCGAGTAATTTATAATTTTTACCAAACCGACGTACCAATAACGTTTACTGTATAAATTAAGCAAGCCAAACCTCTGTTTATTAAAGAAACAACGACGCGGAAACAACGTCACGCCACGCGGAAGTTGGATAATTTAGAGATAATTTCCCCCGCAACAGCTGCATTATTTCTATTTCCGAAACGTTCTAGCGTAAAAGCGAATTACATTGGTAAATCAAGGAAGTTAAATTGAACTGAATTAGTGGAGAGGTTAGAGGCGCGTGTAGCTCGGAAAATAAATCCCCCTAGCATCTCTCCAATTAATTACTCCACGCGTTCGAGAAGTCCGTTTCAGCCATTTCTCGAAATAGCCATTCACGTTTGTCCAAATGGATCAGAAAACTAAAAACTTGGACTCGATATAAGGGAGCTCTTGTTCGTTGCACTCTGCGCGTTACGCGAGAAGGCACCAACTCTTCGTTCCTTATTGCTGTACACCTGACGTTGAACTTTTTACGGTCATTTTTATCGTCCATCGCGTTTCACCCATTCTTCGTGTTTTTTCAAAATATGTCAAAAATGATGGACCAACGAACGATCCATTGATCGGTAAGGAAAATAGCTGAGAAAACATGCTTTGTTTACGGAGAGCAAGCAAAATGCACGAATGTATTTTTAACGTATATTAAAAATTATAGTTTGACAGAAACCTGATCTATAAAGAACACATCCATTGGCACACCCACGCGCCACGCGCGTAAATCCCGAGCAGGCGCAAGCCCCTGCCCAGGATGAGACTTTATCGGCGCGTTTCAGCCTCCTTTAGGACGTTTCAACCTACTTCTACTTAGAAACCTATAAGACGTGCCGCGAATACCTTCCACCTCAAAGGACGAAAATTAATGTTTATTCAAGTCGTACAGGCAATGCGAAGGGAATTCGGAGGAGCCCGATTAATATTTGCGATAGAACCGCGGAACATGTCAATCGCGAAGGTGAATATTCTCACCAATAATATTCTTGCTCGGTTCTTTAATTATTACGTACCTCTTTACCGGAATTCGGACTACCTCTGCGCATATCAGACGAAGAAATGATCCCGGAATAGGAATTTTAGTCGGTTTTTAGTTCTAGAAGGGTTTGATCATCCGCGACGTTAACCCGACTTGACTTCTCATCGAGATACGTGAACGACGCTGGCGGTTTGTCTCGACACAGAGCGGGACATCGCGACGATATCGGTCGGGCGTCTCGATCGGCATTTAGATGCAAATAGAATACTCTTCATGCATTTAAATTTCAACTGCAGCGACGTGTCATTACATACAACAACCAGGACGTTCAATTACAGTGACGAAAATGCCTGCCCGTTCACCTGGAATTCAATTTCGCGGGAATCGGGGAAAAATATAAAGCCACGCATCAGTACTCCCGAAATTAATCGTCAAAAATATGATTTATTGAAAAATACGATTACGAAGATTTTCTCGTACATTTCGTTGGCTAACCTCGTCGCTGTATAATTATTCGTACGTTGTCAATGGATCCATTGATCCACTCCATTCATTAAAGATCTGTACATCAGACTCGTACATCCTCAGACTCGTGTTCAAAAATGCTTTCGCGTCGATGAAACGTAAGCGCAAACGAGTGGAAAGGTATCGAAATATGGAACACAATAGCGCTCGCATCGTTGTTTGAACGCTGTACGAACAAACGCGCTGAAAACTCCGACCGAACTTGCCACTCGACCCGATAATAAATTCGAACAACTTCGCGGATAAATACGTATAATACTCTACGCGAGCACGTGTGTTCCCGTGGCAGCTCGCAAATATCGGAGAAATCTCCTGGCTTCCGTACTATGTACGTCGGGATGCGCATAAATCTATCTTCGTGAGTTCTGATAATATTCAAAAGTTCCGCAAACAGCCGCTCCCGGTCTCCTCACCTTTTATTTCGGCTTCCATTATTGACATTCGCCACACACGGACGCAGAAACGCGACACACGGGATGCCAGCAGGCGGCACACGTTGGGCTCGTTCGCTCGTGCGAAACGCCCAGCCGCCTTCTTTCCCCCTTTTTCCGGGGTCGCTGCTGGCGTGTTCTTCGCATTCAGCACCCCAGCAGACGGCGTCGTCGCGGTCTCGCGAATTCAAAGCGTCGCGATGCGGGCACCACGATTTTTCGAGTTCCCTTCCACGGCCAACTGCCTGGTAAAACGCCGGGACGCAAGTGCCTCCCGTGACGCGTCGATTGCTGCCTTCCAGGCTCCGTTTTAGAAGAGTACAGGAACGCAATCGACGCTGGCTTCTCTTGTTTCACCTTGATTCAGCTCGTTTTATTTATCGAACTGTCTGGAAATATCGTAGATGAATAGCGTAGGTTTTTCGCATTCCTAGAATATTATTTGTCGCGAAACAGTGCAGCCTACTTAGGTTTTCCGTAGGAAACCTAGTGCGATATAAAAAAAATTGTATAGTTATGTTAAGAGATACGTGCGTAAAATGTTTCGTTTCGATCGATTTTCGTTGGTAAAATATAAATAAAGTTCATTGGAGTTTATTTAGGTCGTTTTAATTTCACATTCAATTACGAAATAATAGCCGGTGACACGAAGTCGCTTCTATGTAAAATTTCCCGTCAACGATGCGTCAACATTCGGACAAATTTTAAATAAATATATCGTTAATAAATTTCTGATAGAATAGTCCGAGAAACTCATCGCTCCCCCCCCCCCCCCGCAGCAGTTTATGCAATAGCATTTATAGCACTCCATTTTCAACCCCTTACCGTACCATTTAGCTCGACGAAACTCGGACTGAAAACTGATATTTACGTTTGCTTCGATTATTTGTTTAACGAGACCGTAAAGAAAGAACGGCAAGGACTTGAGTCTTTCCATTGCTGGCGCATGAACGTACCAGCAATAAATTACCAGCACTTTTCTATTAGCTCCTTGACACGTTGGCTGCTAGACTGAAACTCATGGAAATGTCTACAGAATTAAAATTTTGTCTCTAGACTGTTGAAGATTAGATAATTTACCTCTTATTCTAGTACTTAATTTTTGTAACCTCGTCAAATTCACGAATCCTATCCAGATTCATTTTCATTACCGTTTCACCTTCGAAATTAATTTTTTTCAATTACTTAATGGAGTCCTGTCACCCATTTCTGGGTGACGTGGCGACCAACGTGTTAATCTCGATAAACCGAACCCAGAAAAAATCACTCCAGAAGATCTATCCCCCAAGAACTCGAACGAAGATCGAGGAATCCCGCTGCAGACTGCGAAGTTTCGCAGCGGCCGAGAATCAGCACATCGAAGACGTTCTGGAAAGCGTTTCCCCTATTGTGTCTCGGGTTACGCCGTCAGCTGCGGAACACTGAAGAACGACAATCGCGAAACCAGTTATTCCTTGGCGTCGCCGCGGCCAAGTATTCCTCGCGCATCCTGACTGCACGAAGCCGCGGCGTCCACCTCGGACGGGAAAATCCACCCTGACGGCATCTGAATATTGCAACCTCATCCACTTCACGCTGCCAGCTTGCTCCGTCTGGGCGTAAAGGGTTGTCCCCCAGCTTTGAAGATCAAGAGTGTTTCAGCGCGCGCACATGAGAAACACTGGTTATTACGACGGCCAAAGGAGGAAGTCCGCG